CACACACACACACACACACACACACACACACACACACACACATGCACGCCTGGAGCGCGCGCAGCCACGCATGCCTGCTCCCACCCTGTTGCACGGCTGCCCGCGCCTCCCCCCTCCCCTGCCTGTATCCAACCCGCCCGCTCCCTGACCTGCCGCTCTGCCAGGTGGCGGCAGTGAAGCCTCCCATGGCGGTGACCAACGCGGTATCGTGGCGCAGCGAGGGCATCCGGCACAAGAAGAATGAGGTGAGCGGGGTCAGACTGTAGGGTTCAAAAGCCTGGATTTAGGGTTCAGGGTTGACATCGAAGAACGGAGGTGCATGGTGGCGAGGGCCGGGGACTGGGGACACGTGGCACTGGCACGAGGAGAGTGATATGGGGGGCGGGGGCGACGGGCGGGATGGAGGAGGGAGTGGCGGTGCATTGCGAGGGGGATCGGGTTGTGCGGCACCCGGCGAAAACATTGTGTTGCGGGATTGGAAGAAAAGTTGGCTGGTCGGTTGTCTGGGCAGGGCGGGGGTTGGCGTACCGAAGTCGGGGAAGTTTTGGACCCGGGCATTGGATCCAGCGTTTGCATCATGCTTGGCGTGAGTGGGATCCGGCATGGTGCAAATGCGATGAGAGCCAGCCGGCAATGATTTGGTGGGCGTGAAGGATTTGGGTGGGTCTTGGAGGCGCGCTTCTGTGACACGAGTGGGCAGACTGGCGACATTCTCCGCTGTTGTGCACGGCTCTTACGCAATCAGGGACGTCTCTCACTTCCAGAACCTCAAGCATACCCATGATTCCCTTGCTCGCTGCGCACACACACACACACACACACACACACACACACACTCACACACACACACACCAAAACGCACCCACCACCTGGGCTACCCAACCGCAAGGTCTTCCTCGATGTCGTGGAAAGTGTCAACCTCCTCGTGGGCAGCAGCGGGCAGGTGCGCAGCAGAATGCAGGTCGGGCCACGCAGCAGCGGCAGGGGCCGGGAAGTGATGCTTACGGTGTGCGCGAGGCCACGGCGTGCGGGACCCTGCCGGCCGTCGCTGTGTGGCCCTGGTCGCGCGTCCGAGCCAAAGAAGGCGGAGCGCATCCGTGCGCGATGTCAGGGGTCCTTAATCATGACCTGGCCTTGGCTTGGTGTGATGTCTAAGGACTGGCCGGGTCGCAGCGGGGATTCATCATGGCGCAAAGTGATGTCCCCACCGCCCCGCCCTCCTCCCCTCTGGCAAACGCCCTGTTGCAGCCCTCTTGCCCTGTCTATACCCTGTCAACACCCCTCACCCTGCCTGGACCTCGAACCTTGTCTGAACCCCGTGCACACACGCCACCGCACACACACGCCCCGGGCCAACCCAGGTGGTGAGCAGCGAGGTGGTGGGAACCCTCAAGATGCGAACCTTCCTCAGCGGCATGCCCGAGTGCAAGCTCGGGCTCAACGACAAGGTGCGCCCTGTGGACGGCTGGGTTTGAGGGTGTGGGCGCGGCTGTGTTTGTCTGTGCATGTGCAAGACCGCGCCTGCATGTGCGTGCATATGTAAGTTGTATGATCACTGTGCTTGCGTGGGTGTTTGTGTATGTGCAGGGGAGTATACGCACGTGTGTCAAGGGGTGTGTGTGCATTTGTGTTTTTTGTGTACATACATATACATGCAGGTGCAAGCGGTCGCATCATAGCCACTGCCAACTCGTTGAGTCGCTGACGAGGCGTCGTCCCCACCCCCCTCCCGGTCACCCCCCTGCGGCGCCCCATGCAACCGCCGCGCCCCCAGGTGCTGTTTGAGGCCCAGGGGCGCACCAACAGGCAGAAGGCTGTTGAGATGGAGGACATCCGCTTCCACCAGTGCGTCAGGCTGGTGAGTCAATCACCCACCCCACCCCACCCCACCCTACCGCACACTGCACCACCCGGTTTTTTGGTCCTGTTCGAAAGCAGCCACTCCTGCGCGAGCACGCCCGAATATCATCACTCGCCCGCTGCCTCGGCGGCGGCTTCCCCCCTTTTTTCCTGAACCCTGAACCCTCACCCACTCCTGCACCCCAAGGCGCGGTTTGAGAATGACCGCACCATCAGCTTCATCCCACCTGACGGCAACTTCGACCTGATGACCTACCGGCTGAGCCAGAACATCAAGTGAGGGGGGAGAGAGCGGTGCTTGGGTCGGGGTGGTTGTGGGGTGATGGGCAGGGGGGGTTATGCGTGCAAGTCGGGTGATGGGGAAAACCACAAAGTGCAGGTGCCAGCAAGATCAGGGATGCATGTGTCTGTATGGCGGCAGCTGTGACAGAAAGCGACGCTTAGGGTCCCAGTTTCAGCGTGTCGTGTGCGCGAGTCTGAAGCAGCGACGGATGCACGGGCTCCAAACGCACCAGAGCACACATATGCGCGCGCTCTCACCTCACATCTTCCCACCCGCAGGCCTCTTGTCTGGGTGGAGTGCCTGGTGGAACACCCCTCACGCAGCCGCACGGACTACGTGGTGAAGGCGCGCTCACAGTTCAAGGAGCGGTGAGGCACACGCACACATCAGGGTTGCCGCCCCCGCGATCCCGCGTTGATCAACCCCTTCCCGCCCCCCCTCCCATACATACGCACACACACACACACGCATGTCCACCCCCCCACACACGCACACACAAGCGCAAGCACACACACACACACACACACACACAAGCGCGCGCACACACGCACACATCACCGCGAGCTGCCCGGTGCAGCACCCTCAACTGTGGCTGTCCCAACCGCCTGGTCCACAACAGCCGGCGCAAAGGGGGGCGTCAGGACTAGAGTTTTAGTGATAGCCTTGCTGCTGCATCGCCTCACCTCCACCACACAAGACCGTCGCGAGGCCCCGCTGAAACATCCTTGGACCGGTGCCCTCAGTGGCGATATCACCGCTGCTTTTCATTCTTCACCCTCTCATCATCCGGTCCCCTCAACGTCACACCCCCAACCCCCTACCCCTCCCCCAACCGAATCACATCGAATGCACCATGCACCCTTTCCCCAGGAGTGCGGCCACCAACGTGGAGATCATCCTGCCTCTGCCCCAGGACGCCATCGTGCCGCAGAGCCGCTGCAGCCAGGTGGGCGCGTGCTGCGGAGAAGGGTCTGGGTGCAGAGCCGCTCCAGCCGAGAGTCCTTGTATGTCGCGCGTGCTTGGGGGCGGGGCTGCAGGGGCAATGGTGTTGTGCTCGGGGTCGCACATTCGCGGAAGCCATGCGCTGGCGCACGGTCATTCAGGTGGGGCTGTGGGCAGGGCAATGCACCAGCAATCATCTGCATCCGCATCACCCCCCTCCCTGCTTCCCCCTTGAACCCTGACAGCCCCCCCTCCCCCAACGCGCAGGTGCGCGCACACACACACACACACACACACACACACACACACACACACACGTGCACGCACACACGTGCACGCACACACGTGCATGCACACACACATACACACACACAAACACACAACATGTACGTACACGTGTTTACGCACGCACGCATGTACATACGCGTGTCATTTCGTCAGGGCACCGCGGTCTATGCGCCAGAGAGGAGCGCCATGATCTGGACGATCAAGAGCTTCCCGGGCGGCAAGGTGCGCAAACTTCACACCGTAAAGAGCGTGCCGTTCAGCTAGCATCGGGCTTGCCTGCTGGGCGGCACCCAGCCGTGCGGGTGCGCGGGCAGGGCACTGCGGCGTCCCAACCACCCCTCTCAGCATCGACCCTTGCTCCTTTGATGTCTCCAACCATCATCGTATCAACTGAAAACAATCACGAACGACGGCTTTGCTTGTAACGTTTCATAACAATTTGTTTCCCTCAACCGCTGTGCTGACTCACCCAGGAGTACCTGCTGCGTGTCAACTTCAACCTGCCAAGCGTGGAGGCCGAGGAGGAGGTGCGCGCGGGGGACCCCCTCCATGCCCGCCTGCATTGGCCCCTCCTGTGCAATGCTCGCATCCGGATCAACGCGCGGCGCGCCCCGCGGCCCAACGGGCTCGCGCGCATCGCCCCTCCCCCCTTTCCTGCTCGTTCCTGGTGCCGCGACGCATGTCTTGGGCCCGCTGGCCGCTTGTTGCCGATTACCAAAGGCTCGTCATAAAAGCCTGCCAGAGTGCCGCTGCGGCGTGCGGCCGCCGCGTCCCTCGCGCTCTGCTGCACCCTCGTCCCTCTTCCCCAACCCTGCGCCACCTGCGCATTGACGATGCACCATCAACACATGGTCGTGAACAATCATGTCATTGCGATTAAATAATCACAGGTCCACGGGAAGATGCCGCCCATCAAGGTCAAGTTTGAAATTCCCTACTTCACAGTCAGCGGCCTGCAGGTGGGTGGGCAGGTGGAGGGGGGCAGGTGTGGGCCCGGGGGGCACGGGCAACGGGGCGGCTTGCAGGCGCTCGGAAGCCGGACGGAAGCTGGAGGCTTTTTGGAGGAAGGGGTGGTATCCCAAGGGGCGTGGGTTGCAGCCCTGGGCACGGTTTGGAGTAGGTGGAGCATGGACTGCAGCTTTATGGCACGCGGGCGTCCGCAGACCGCGGGCGTGGCTTCCTGCGCCTGCCCCCTGACGCCGCGCCGTCGCGCTGTTGCTATGCGGCCTGCGCGGACGGCTGGCACGGCCGGCCGCAGCGACTGGACGGGTGCACGGAGCTTTGGAAACAAACGTACTGACAGCGACAATTGCTGTAGCCCCTGCACCCCCTCCTCCCCCCCCC